CAGATTACCATGGATTAATGTTAGAATTTAACAATAATACTACTCTTAGAAGGCCTATAAACTCATGGAAATTGAACAGTGAATTACTGAACCACCCCTGGGTCGAGGAAGAAATAAAGAAATTAAAGACTTCCTAGAATTCAATGAAAATGAAGGCACAACATAACCAAACCTATGAGACACTATTAAAGCAGTTGCTAAGAGGAAAGTTCATAGGACTAAGTGCCCACATAAAGAAAATGGAGAAAGCTCACATTAGTGACTTAACAGCACACCTGAAAGCTCTAGAAGCAGACATACCCAGGAGGAGTAGAAGAAAAGAAATAATCAAATTAAGGGTTGAAATCAACAAAATAGAAACAAAGAAAACAATAAAACAATACAAAGAATCAATGAAACAAAGAGCTGATTCTTTGAGAAAATCAACAAGATAGACAAATCCTTGTCCAAACTAATCAAAAGGCAGAGAGAAAACATCTGAATTAACAAGATCTGAAATGAAAAGGGGGATATAACAACAGACACTGAGGAAATTCAGAGAATCATTAGGTCATACTACAAAACCTGTACTATATAAAATTAGAAAATGTGAAGGAAATGGACAATTTTCTAGATAGATACCATATACCAAAATTAAATTAAGACCAGGTGAGCAATTTAAACAAACCTATAAACTCCAAGGAAATAGAAGCTGTCATCAGAAACTCCCAGACAAAACAAAACAAAACAAAACAAAAAAGCCCAGGTCCAGATGGTTTTAGTGTAGAATTCAACCAGAACTTCCAGAAAGAGCTAATACCCATGCTCCTCAAAGTGTTCCACATAATAGAAGCAGTAGGAACATTGCCAAAATCTTTCTATGAGGCTACAGTTACTATTATACCAAACCACACAAATACCCAACCAAGAAAGAGAATTACAGACCAATCTCACTCATAAACATGGATGTGAAAAATACTCAAGAAAATACTGGCAAACTGAATCCAAGAACACACCAAAAAATCATCCAACATAATAAAGTCAGCTTCATTCCAAAGATGCAGGGCTGGTTCAACATATGAAAATCTATCAATGTAATCCTTCATATAAATAAACTGAAAGGGAAAAAAACCGTTATGATCATTTCATTAGATGATGAAAAATCATTGGATAAAATCCAAACCCCTTTATGAAAAAGGTCTTGGAGAGGTCAGGGATCCAAGGAACATACCTAAGTATAATAAAAGCACTATACAGCAAGTCGACAGCCAACATCAAATTAATGGAGAGAAACTCAAAGTGATTCCACTAAAATCAGGAACAAGACAAGGCTGTTCACTCTCTCCATGTCTCTTCAACATAGTTTTTTGAAGTTCTGGCTATAGCAATAAGACAACAAAAAGAGAACAAGGGGATTCGAATCGGAAAGGAAGAACTCAAAGTTTCATTATTTGTAGATGATATGATAGTGTGTATAAGTGATCCTAAAAACTCTACCAGAAAACTTATACAGCTGATAAACACCTTCAGTGATTTGGCAGGATATAAGTTCAACTAAAAAAAAATCAGTAGCCTTCCTATATACAAATTATAAAGAAGCTGAGAGGGAAATCCGAGAAAGATCACCTTTCACAATAGCTACAAATAACATAAAAGAACGTAAAATCTTGGGGTAACACTAACCAAAGAAGTGAGAGACCTATTCGACAAAAACTTTATGTCATTAAAGAAAGAAATTGAAGACGATCTCAGAAAATGGAAAGATCTCCCACGCTCTTGAATGGGTAGAATCAACATAGTAAAAATGGCAATCCTACCAAAAGCAGTCTATACATTCAGTGCAATCCCCATCAAAATTCCAACACAAATCTTCACAGACCTTGAAAGAACAACAATCAACTTCATATGGCAAAATAAACAATCCAGGATAGCCCAAACAATCCTGTACAATAAAGGAACTTCCAGAGGCTTCACCAAACTATTGCAGAGCTACAGAAATGAAAACAGTTTGGTACTGGCATAAAAACAAAGAGGTTGATCAATGAAATTGAACTGAAGACCCAGATTATTAATCCATACACCTATAAACACCTGATTTTTGATAAAGAAGCTAAAATAATACAATGGAAAAAAGAAAGTATCCTCAACAAATGTTGTGGGCATTACTGGATGTTAACATGTAGAAGAATGAAAATAGATCCCTATCTCTCTGTATGCACAAAACTCAAGTCCAATTGGATTAAAGACCTCAATATAAATCCAACCATACTGAACTTAATAGAAGAGAAAGTGGGAAGTGGTCTTTAATGCATGGGCACAGGAGACCACTTCCTAAATATAACCCAGTGGCACAAACACTGAGAGCAACAACAAAGAAATGAGAACTTCTGAAATTGAGGAGCTTCTGTAAAGCAAAAGACACCATCAATAAGACAAAAAGGCAGCCTACTGAAAGGGAAAAGCTCTTCTCCAGGCCCACATCATACCGAGGAATTATCTCCAATATATATATAAAGAACTCAAGAAATTAGACATCAAATTTTTAAATAACCCAGTTGAAAAATGGGGTACAAAACTAAACAGAGAATTCTCAACAAAAAACCCTCAAATGCCCAAAAGATACTTAAGGAAATATTCAATCCTTAGCCATCAGGAAAATGCAAATTAAAACAACTCTAAGATACCATCTTATACCTGTCAGAATGGCTAAGATAAAAAACACCAATGTAGCTTATGCTGGAGAGGATGTGGAGTAAGGGGAACACTCATCCATTGCTGGTAGGAGTTCAAACTTGTACAACCACTTTGGAAATCACTATCGCAGTTTCTCAGAAAATTGGCAATCAACCTACATCAGGATCAAACAATACCACTCTTGGGCATATACTCAAGAGATGCTTAATCATACTACAAACTATGTTTATAGCAGCATTATTTGTAATAGCCAGAAACTGGAAACAACCTAGATACTTCTCAACTGAAGAATGGATAAAGAAAATGTGGCACATTTACACATTAGAGTACTATTTAGCAGTAAAAAAAACCCAACGACATCTTGAATTTTGCAAGTAAATGGATGGAATTAGAAAAACACTATCCTGAGTAAGGTAACCCAGACCCGAAAAGATGAATATGGTATGTACTCACTCATAAGTGGGTACTTGCTATAAACAAAGGATATTGAGCCTATAGTTTATGATCCTAGATAAGCTAAATAATGAGGTGAACCCTAAGAAAAACATATATAAATCCACCTGGAAAGTGGAAACAGGCAAGGTCGCCTGAGAAAATTGGGAGTATGGCGGTGGGGGAAGAAAGGAGGATAGAGAGGAAGAGGAGGGGACAAGGGGAGAGGTGAGGAGAACTTGAGGGAATGGAATAGTTGAGAAAGAGAAGGGACAGAGATGAGAACAAGGAAAGAGATATCATGATTGAGGGAGCCATTATAGGGTTAGCAAGAAACCTGGCTAACCTGGCTCTAGAGAAATTCCCAGGAATCCACAAGGATAAACCCAGCTAAGAGCCTAAGCAATAGAGGAGAGAGGGCCTTATCTTGACTTGTCCTGTAGTCAGACTGATGAATATCTTAAATATCACCATAGAACCTTCATCTAGTAACTGATGGAAACAGAGGTAGAGACCTGCATCGGAGCACTGAACTGAGCTCCTAAAGTCCAGTTGAAGAGTGGGAGGAATGAGAATATGAGCAGAGAGGTCAAGATCATGATGGGGACACTCACTGAAACAGTCTACTTGAGCTAATGGGAATCCACCAACTCCAGCCAGACTGAGAAGGAACAAGCATAGGATCAAACTAGTCCTTGTGAATGTGGTTGACAGTTTCACGGCTGGGCACCAGGATTTATCCCTACTGCATGTACTGGCTTTTTGGGAACCTATTCTCTTTGGATGACACCTTGCTCAGTCTAGATATAGTAGAGAGGGCCTTGGACCTTTTCCAAAGCAATGTGCCTTACCGTCTCTGAGGATTGGATGGGTTGGGGTAGGAAGATGTGTGCAGGGAGTGGGAGGAGAGGAGGGAGTAGGAACTTAGATTGTACAATGAAAAAAGATAGTTTTCTTTTTTAAAAAAATTTTTAAAAAACTGAAAAAACAAGAAAACCAAAAAAAAAAAAACCAACTAAAAACCAAAAAGCCATATATAGTCCTCACTTTCCCCTCTTACAGCTTCCCCAGTAGTCCAGTTCTTAACCCTTTCGGTTACTTTCACTTGTGATTTCCTCATCTAGTCTCCATCATTGCTTGTCTAGGTCTGGAATGTGCCTCAACTTTCTACACGGTTTCCCTCTTTCAGTTCGCTGTCTACCCTATGCTCATGACAATGCTTTAAAACACATAAAGCTAATTCAGATTCTTTCCCAAATCCAGATCTTTATATCAATAAATTCAGATTCTTCAGTAGGGATGATGTTCTCCAACTGTACTGCTTTTAACTATCTTCTCTCTTTTCCCCTTCTGGATTTTCTGTCTTTCAAACATGTCAAACATCAAATTTGTTTTAATTTGAGGAATTTTGTACTTGCAATTTGTTGCCTTTCCCTTTAATAACCTTATTTGGGGTCTGACTGTCTTGACTGAATTTTTCATTCAAATATCAGACCATATTTTACTTTTTCAGGCAGCATGTTCTTAAAACAACCAAATTCAAGTAACATTCTCTTCACACAATCTATTCCTCCTTGCTTTCTGTTATCAAGTTTTTTAATTCATCTTTTGTATTTGTGTCCTATGGGAACAGAGAATACCTTGATGTGTTTCTATTCTCTTAAGCAGTATTCTGTACATATTAATGAAATTAGTTAATTAATAAATTTTATCTCTGTGAACTTTAGCACCCCATACAATAATAAGATTAAAATAAATGTTTAGCCAGATCATTTTCCTCAAAGAATGATCTAGCATTTTATTTCAGCTTTGCTGGCTTGTGCACACTCTATTATGTAAACTCAACACAGGTGAATTTCTGGATCCAGTTTGAGTTTAGAAGATGAGGAACTTACCTAATTTCATAATTATTAAGTTGCTTGATTGCGTTCTTGGCTTCCTGCTTATTTGAGAATGTTACAAATGCATAGCCTCTATTGTTGCCATTAAAATCCATCATCATTCTCATTTCATAAATTTTACCAATCTGTAATGAAGAGAAACAGAACATTTCTATTTACATATTTATACTCCCAAGTGTACGTGCATGTGTGTGTGTGTGTGTGTGCGCGCGCGCACACACACACACATGCACACAGGCACACACAGGCACACACAAGATGCTTGCTGAACTGCCTCCTGCCGTGTTTGGCATTTGTAATCATGGGAATGGTTTGCATACTTTTATAGTGGATTCAGATTAATGATCTAACTCATGGGAAAAGCCAAGTTAAATAATGAAAATAAGGACAAATGGCATTTCAGCCTCCGCTAACGAAATGTGCTTTTGCCTGAGCAAATGACCTTTTGTCATACAACTATCTGGAGATTTATGTAGCGTCTTGAGGAGCCAAAAGTGCATTTGTCATTAGAAGTACAGCTTCTTCTTAGATCTACCCAAGCCTTCTGGGTTGTCTTGTAATGTCTCTGTGGATTGACCTTTACTTGGCTATAGTCTGTACTGACATATAAAACAGGAAACAAGGGTACTCATTTGGGGCCTTGCTAAACTAACTTCCCGGCTGTCTTTTCCCACTGCCATGATGTCAGAATAAATATAGTGTATCTCTTAGGGACGTTTCTTATTTTAGCAGTTTCTAGGTTGCAAATGAATGCAATCCTCAATACAACTGACAGAGGATCAGAACCTCTTAGCAAAGTAGTCCTTGTTTTCCATCTACCTGTCTATCACTCTTCTGCTTGTCCTTATTGTCCTTCTCCTGTACTCCAACTATCTTGAACTAATCCAGACTAAGCAGTTTATTATCCCTAGCTTTGATAAGCAGGGTGATCCAAATACATACACTGGCTACGTGGGGAGAGATGCCAGTAAGCCTGCACGTACTTCAGCTCTTGATGGCCCTCTGCTTCGCCTCACTCTACTCCACTCCAAAGAACTCACTGAGGGGCATCTATTTCTTCTTGGTGGAAGAGTGAACATTTTTCCTGTTTCATATGTCATCCATTCTCATTTTCATGTTAAGAAATAAGAGAATGTTCAGGATTTTTCTTATGCTATCTGAGATTCACTGTATAAAATCAGTGGCTCCGAACCAGAGGCTGCACATGGTGGCAATTAATTTTTGCCATTTAGGGGATGAGCCAAATTCTCATGTGCAATGTGATTTCTGGAAAGAATACACCTGGCAACATATTTAAATTAACTTTAAGATTGTATTTTTCTATAATTTTGAGTTTAGTATTAAAATGCCATATGGAACTAGGGAAATATTTTCTTTAGTAATCACATAGGGACATTGAGTAACCATGTTTTTAATCTGTTCAGTATATTAAGATAATCAATTCTACTTGCGGAAGAAAATTTTACTTGAATCAATATGTATAATACACAAACTTAAGCCAGGCAAGCACACATAATTTCCTACATGAAATGCTGCACTTTATAAGTAATATTAAGATGTCAAGTTGCAGCAGTATCTTATGTTTGATGGAATGCTCCACTGTTCTGTAATCTTAGATACTTGGGATTTGCAGTAATTCAGCTGCTAGGAGAGAAACGGGGGAAGAGATATGAATTTGAGAACTGTCAGCAATAGTCATTCAAGTTATCCGTGCAACAAGACAAAGATCTGGACAAAGGCAGTAGCAATAAGGAGACAGCCATTAGATGATGGGAAGGTTTTCTTTCTTTCTTTTTTTAATTGATTTTATTGAGCTGTATGATTTTCTCTGCTCCCCTTCCTTCCTCTACCCTCCCCTTCAATCCTCTCCCATGGTCTCCATGCTCACAGTTTACGCAGGAGATCTTGTCATTTTAATGCTGTCTATTGCTGATGTGAAGGATGTGGGGGAGAATCATCAAACTGGGCACTGGAGAGATGGCACAATGGGTGATGTGCTTGCTCTGTAAGTACGAGGACCTAGGCAAATCCAGATGCAACAGTACACATCTGTAATCCCAGAACGTCTACACTGAGCTGGAAAGTCGAGACAGGAGAATCTGGAAGCTCGTGAGCTAGGTAGACTTGTATATGCAGTAGTGAACAATTAAAGACCCCGACTCAAACAAAATATAAGGTGAAGACAGACACTAATGCTGTCTTCTGACCACCACACATGTGTTTTGTTGCTTTCTTCCACACTTACACACAAAAACATATGCACACACACATTATATACTTACATTTCACAGAGAGATTTTTTTAAAAAGTTGAAAAATAGTTAAAGCTAACTAAAGAAAATAGTATTTCTTACCTGAAAGAAGAAATTAAATTTGGACTTACTTTTTCACACAATGGAATGAGTTCATCCTCAAAAAGGTCCCGGGGAAGTTTTCCAATAAAAATCTCACAGCCCCTTTCTGGGGGTGCAGCATCCCAGCCTGGTGGAGGACCACCATATTTTCTTTGTCCATTTTCCTGTGTGTCCAGGAAAGACGGTATATGAGAGAAGAAGACATCAAAATCTTTAACTTGTTTTCCTCATTTTTTTTGAAAAAAAACCATTTTGGTTAAGGAATAATTTAGGAAATATTTGTCATTGTTGAGTAATTGTAGTTGACAAAGAAGATAAAAGTTAAAGACTTGTCTGTGTCTACGCGAATCTTAACACTTCTCTGCCTCAAAGACTTGCTCAAGATAAACATGACTGACACCTGTGAAGTGCTTAGCAGCACACGAAGGTATTCACAGATGTCTTTACAGAATTTCTCATCAGTGACAACGTTATAGAGTGAGAGGCTGTGCCCTAATACAGCGGAGTGGTTCAGAACCCACTACAGGTCTGGGCAAAGAGACAAAGTCTGTGACTTTGTATTGTTTTCAAAAATTATTTTTGTTATTTCATTTTACTGTAGTAAAATAGCTCAGTCCAAGTTTCTTAACAATTGAGAAGACAGGTCGTCCTGCTGTTGTATGAATGTCTGAGAGGCAGATCATCAAGGATTCTGACTGTCACTGTGGTCTGGGCTCTGATTTAGCCTCATGGTTGTGTGCAGCGTCGGCACGCTTAGAACTGGAGCTTTTCGATTCCATTAGTCACTCTCTAGCTGCAGAGCTTTAGGCAAATATCCCCTCAGCCCTCAGTTTTCTCATGTGCAAAGTGGGGGTGACAGTAGCTTTTCCCAGAGGGTAACCTGCCCTTGGCCCTTAGCCTGTAATCAATACTCAGCTATTATTAATTCCTTTCTTCTCTCTCCTAATCCAAACAAGAGAAAGACCATCTAAACAGTAAAAGGTGGTTAATTTGGGGGCTAACTGCTGCTGAAAGATTTCAGCCTCTTTCCAAAGATGACAGTATTTATAAGATGTTTCCTAATGCTGCCTCTTTACGTGGGGAGCAATGATGTTCTCAGTCCAAAGAGCACTGGCTTTTATACTTCTCTCAGACCTAATAGATTTTTTTAGAGGAATGACACTGGCATTTTCCTCCAGTGTCAACTATCCAAAGTATGGGCACAGTCGGGCACTGCAGATCTGCTGAAGCTCATTCGTTGGAGTACAATGAAGAAGCTACAATGCCCTTCAGCATGGTTGGTACTCCAGACCATTGCGTTTTCTTAAAGGACTCAGATGTTGGCGTTCTTTGCAAAAGTCACTGTTAATAGATTAGATAGTTTTGTGCCAGGATGTATAGTGTTGTGTAACAAACGTAATCTATGGAGTGGAAAGAAAAATGCCCCAATAGATCACTCCCCTCATCCTCAAAAATAATTACTGGCAGAAGCTTTGATCTTCCTTTCCAATTATTTTCTGTGTATACTTTTGAAAGATGTGTTTCAGTTTAAAGACTTTGTTTGGTGAGGTGCCTGCTCATTGTTTACAATGAAAATAAAGCAGCTTGTGATATCACTTCTAGGCTCTGTCTATACCAACTTCAGTTTCCAATATTTATTTATTTATTATTTATTCTTTAAAATGATTTATTTATTTTTATTTCATGAGCAATAGTGTTTTGCCGGCATGAATACATGTATAAAAGTGTGGGTACCTCGGAACTGAAGTTACATATAGTTATGAGCTGCCATGTTGGTGCTGGGAATTGGGTCCTCTGGAAGAGCAGTCCATGGTCTTAACCACTAAACCATCTGCCCAGCCAGCTTTCAATTATTTTGTTAGTATTTGATCTAACACTCTTTGCTTCACAGTCTTTAAATGATGTCCACAGTCAGAGTCACCTTTTTATTTCGGAGTTAATTTATATGATGTTGCTTTAAATAATAAGATGAAAGGATGTATTGTCTTGGTTACTTTTTGCTTCAAGCCACTGGGCATGTTTCATCTTACTAAATCTTTCTAGTTTTGCTTACAGAGTGCTTGTAATTTTACCTTATATTCTTAAAGGATTATCTAGCAACAAAACTTTAATATTACTAACAAACCCGAGAAATGACATACTTCATCTTAAACAACAACAAAAACTATCCCCCTCTCACAAGAATGTGGTATCTGTTTCTCCACTGAGAGTTTTCTAAACATGTCTATTTAATATTTGTGACGATGGCCAAAGCTTAATTTTCTGGTGTTCTAACTAATACATGGATATCAGCTCCTGCATGCACGTAATGTCCTACACACAGAGCAGGGTCATGGCGCAGGAGCTATTGCTGTCTTAGAAGACACGAGGTCTGGAAGCAGTTTCTAGAGGTCACAAAGTTGTTAAATAGAGAAGCTAGGGTTTGAACACAGGAAATCAGCCGGGGTTCATCACCTTAATCCCTATATATTATGGCCTTAATGTTGGAAAGCCTAGGGCTCATGATCAATACAGATGTTACACTCAACAAATAAAAATGTTTTTCCTGCCATTAATCAGAAAGTGCCCTGCCTCACTTAAAACTCTTTCCAATATCCTGTCATTCAATTACACAAAATTTTGGGAAGAACATATCTCACACTGGTTTATACAGAGGGGTGTATTTTTAGTTCTGGTCACCATTCCCTCCCTAGGCCAAATCTTTCCATTTGGGTGATGACTATCCTTCCTACATTCTTTCCTGTATGTCTCAGATATTTATAATACCTAACTGATTGTTAAAATACACAGTATAAATTTGGCCAATATTTTCACCCCTCAGACTGAGGGGATCAAACTCATATTCTATAATGGCAAAGTGGCTCTTCTGGAATCATTGATTACATGAGTTTCCTTTGAATTGAAAAGAAATAAGCAATGAGCAGAATGACCTTTCTAAGTCTCACTTCTATTGTCTTGATCACTGTAGTTGCTAAAAATAATAATGTGTATGTTATGGGTATGAGCACTCCATTGCTTACATGCTTTAGAAGCTTGTTAATTGTGTTTTTGTGGTTTCTATAAACACATGAAGAATACCCAATAATAGCCTTGGGGTTTGATGATTCCAACCAGTTTAGAGATGGCCTGAAGTTCACGCAGTGGGGAACATTTGCCCTGGGAACCACCCAATACGCCTGGAATGCAGCAGCAGGAGAAGCCCAGAGCAATTTGAGGCAGGCACTAGGCATTAGTCACAGGGTCAGAATAGCTGTCCATTGCTCTGAAAGGACAGTGGACTGATATTTCAGGCCCTGTTTTTATAGCTGAGGAGTTTATAATAAGTAAAGCCAGACTAAAACTGTGCCTTTCTCTTCTGGCTGGTATCCTCAGGCCTCATTCTCCTCAGCAACCCAAACGTATTAATAGTTTAGGAAACAGATTCGAAATACTTTAGAGGATTTTTTTTTAAATGTGAGAGGATGTTTATCAAACTCTGGGAACTTTTACCTTTCTTTACAATTAGGTTTTCTCAACGTTTTCTGTTTCCGCACCCACACAAATAGGTAGAAAACTTTGAACTGTCTAATTAAAATTTGAGAACTCAATTCTAGTTATGAATACTGTTTCTTTTTTAAGGATTGCATGCTGAGGCTGCCTAGAAACTTAGCTTATGTCAAGAGTGTTCAGAATTTCCTCCTCCACAGATAGTTCAAGTTCTTCATGATGAAATTATGGCTAGCATCTTCTTGTCCTCGGCTAAAACTAGGTATCTTTGTTTAATAGGTCATCCTGCACAATAAATCTTAGAATTAATGCTGAAAGTAAGCTGTTATTTTGTCCACTGTGCATCAGAGACTATTGTACTGGGAAAGTCTACCTTCTGGAGGATTTGAAAATGTCAGCTCTTTGCTTTTCTAGCTTTCCTTGCAGCTTGGATGGCTGTAATTTTTAGTAGTAATAAATTTGAGTTCTGGCACAAAATTTGTAACAGTTCAAACTTGAATGTTGAACACTCAATGATTGTGGGTATATTTCCTTGTCATTATAAATCTGTGAGGTGCTTTTGGATTTCATTCATATAAGTTTTCCTTTAACCTGGATCCCAAACCCAAACTTTAATCAGCATCTAGGTATGGAATCTTGTGAAATTTGAATACATGTACATATGAGCATAGCATGTTATATATGTAATATATGCATATATAATGTACATATAATATGATATATATAATATTGAGTTCATTTAGCAGTGCTCATATATATGTATGTAACAGTAATGAAGAAGAGATCATAAATTTGGGAGAGAGCTGGTCTTTGAGACATGGAAGAATTTGTGAGGGGAGAGAGAAGGGTAGAAATGATGTCAATACAGTACTCGTTTATGAAATTCTCAAAAAAATTTAAATTAAAAAAACACAAACTTTTAAAGACATAGACTTTTTTAACATAAGGTTTTCTGTTTGATTAGCCAGAATTGTCTCCTGTTTTTTTACACATAAAAGTAATGGCAACAAAACAATTCACTATCATAGAGTCACGTATTACATAAATCTTCGAATACGATAACCCATACAGTCTTCCTTGTGTGTGAATGAGGAACCACGGACACAGAATGCTCCTAAATTCATGCACATAGAATTAATGGCAGAGACACAAGTGAGTCCTAAGCCATGCTTTTAGTTACAACATTGTTTCTAATGGTTCATACATTTTTAGCCCATATTCCTCATTTTATGGGGAAAAAAAGGGTTCATAGACATTACATAAATTGTCTAAAATTCCAGCACTTTAGATAAATGCAGGAAACACTATGCTGAAGGTGCCATGTTGCTCAGCTGAGTGAGATTTATGGCATATTTGTTATTGAAAGCTTTCTTCCCATGTTCTTTTCAGGTTAATCAACCTTTTGCTCTCTATGCTGCTGGGCCTACTTTCCTTCACAACTTCAGCAAATAGGTAGACCAGATGGTTTCTCCCTGGGTGTGAGCCCATTCATAAATAAAGAGATCATTTATGAATGACCCTTCACCCAGTCACTATTAATTTCAATTCTTTTAATGACTCTGGAGATTTTTATGCTGTCTGCAATATTTTTTTTTCTGGTTCTCTTTGGTTCTTTGTACCTTTTATCTTCACTCTAAGAGAAAAGAAATTACACATCTTTTTAAACCAAACTGCTTTA